ACAATTTTAGTCTATTAATTTTCTTCTCTATAGCTGTGTTCCAGGTGCATGCTATTTTTGAAGCTATGGAGAGTGATGAATTTTTATGAACTGATACTTTTAAAAAAATAATTTGTGTTTTAATTTTTACTTTTGATTTAACATATATTCTGTATAGGTTTCTTTTGTTCCTTTCTGGGGGTCAGTGGGGAACTCGCTAGCAGGAAGTCCCTAGCAGTTCCCATTGGGCCAGAGTCCTTTCCCACTGAGAGTCAACCACGATGGACTGTTCAATGCGAGAGCCCAAGGAAGTGGTCCTGTGTGGGCCCTGAGGTACTCCTGGCCACCATCGTCATACCCAGTGGTGCTTGGTGGTCTCCAGGGCTATACCAGACATTGCTTTTAGGGTAATTTGAGATGCTGACAATCAGACAAGGGTCCCCTAACCCCTGTGCTATGTCCCAATCCCACATTTTTGTTTTGTTTTAAGATCATTTTTGACTCCTCATTGTAGGTTATGACTAAATCAAATAGAAATAAGTAAATCCTCTGGAAAATTTTTTAAATATTCTAATAGAAATCATTTAGGAGAGTGAAACACAAAATCTTTTCTGGAACTAGTGAAAACTCCTTAAATAATATCATTCCAATTATAGTATATGAGCTGCCAAAGTGATCATAAAGTCCTTAAATAATAGTCATAAAGGCCCACAAAATCTCTTTCTCCTTTGACTTTGGGGCCACCCCCAGAAGTGCTCAGGGGACCATATGTGGTGCTGGGGATCAAACCTGGGTTGACTGTAGGGCAAGCACCCTACCTGTTACCCTCTATAATATCTCTCTGGGCCAAGCATGGAAATCTGCCATTCTAAATAAAAGTAACAAAGGCCAAAGCAATAGTACAGCTGGCAGGGCATTTGCCTTGCATGTGGTTGACCCAGGTTTTATGCCTGACATCCCAAATGGTCCCCTGCGCACTGCCAGGAGTAATTCCTGAGTGCAGAGCCTGGGTAATCCCTGAGAATTGCTGGGTGTGGACCCCTCTCCCCCCAAAATGAAAGTAACAATGTGAATTTCTCTTGCTACAGTAGTCACAGGCAAATGGCATGTTATTGGAAGACATTTTGCTCCAGACATTCATATTCTATTATAGAGCTATTCACTGTTTATTAGGTATTTTTTAGCTAAAGCTTAGGACTTAATCAGAACCTTTAAAAAGGTGTTTCTTGGAATTGGAGAGATAGTCTAGGGGTTACAGTGCTTGCCTGGCATGGCAACAGACCCTGTTCATTTCCCAGCACAATATGATCCTCAGGAGTATCACAGCTGGCTGAGAAGCACCAGGCGTGAACCCCAAGCCTCCTGAGTGATACTTTGGAAGCCCAAAAGTGAAAAACAAAACTAAAACAAAACCATTATTTCCAAACTTCAGTGATAGCTCCAAGAGCCGAAGTATGTGCACGTATGTACAAGACCCCTGAGTTTGATCCTCAGTGCCCTATGCCCCCCTTAGGCCCCTGGGACGAGCACAGAGCTGTCAGGGTCATACGTTTGGAACCGAGAAAAGCCCCTTGTCCCCCAAGTTCATCATAGTGCTGAAAAGAGCCCTCCCACACAATTTATTTCCACTGAACATTTTTTATGTAGGAGAGCAAATAGGCAGATTTTATATCTAAAGTAAACAAGTTTTCCCAACCTGTATAACACATTTGACATTTAAGGTTATTCGATTTTTCGAGCCAAAATCTATAGTTTTCTAGTGTGTATTTTTTTTAAAAAAAATGATTTTTAGGGGCTGGAGCAAAAGCATAGTGGGTAGGGCGTCTGCCTTGCACGCAGCCAACCCAGGTTCAATTCCCAGCATCCCATATGGTCCCCTGAGCACAGCCAGGGGTACTTCCTGAGTGCAGAGCCAGGAGTAACCCCTGTGCATCACCGGGTGTGACCCCCCCAAAAATGATTTTTATTGTCACAAAAGACATGGAAGAAAACAGTACCTAAATTAAAGTGTTTTTCACTATATGAAGATAAACTACTGCATTATCTACTTAAAGATATAGCTAACACTCTCAGGCCACTTAAACTTATGATTAAGGTGAGGGCATTTGAACACAAATTTAGTTCAATTCAAACATAAGTGTTAGATGCTAAATTTGTGTTAATTTGTGTGTGTGTGTGTGTGTGTGTGTGATTCAGGGATTCAAACTCAGGCCTCACACATGCAAGATAGGTGCTCTATTGCTGAACTACATTCATCACCCCAGCTAAATTTTTTATTTGGGGGCCACATCCTCTAATCCTTGGGGACTCTTCCTGTCTTAGTACTCAAAATTTACTGGTGATATCCCCCTCCACTTCCCTGTTCTTCAGGAAGCCTCAGCAGTCATGTCCACACCCCAAAGATGCCACCCAACTAAAAAGTTACTCCAGCCTTTTTGTCCCAATAAAAATACTGAATGCCCTGAGCAAACACAATGACCTCTTAGCACCTATACGGCAAACCATAATGCACAAAAGGAAAAGGAGAGAGAGAGAGAGAGAGAGAGAGAGAGAGAGAGAGAGAAAGAGAGCAAGAAGGAAAGTGCCTCTCATAGAGGGAGGCTGGGGATGGGGGCTGGGGTGTTGGGGGGTGGCGGGAAGGAAAAAGGGATCATTGGTGTCTGGAAATGTACACTGGTGGAGGGATGGGTGCTGGACTGAAACCCAATCATGAACAGCTTTGTAATGGTCTATCTCACGGATATTCAATTTAAAAAATTTAAAAATAAAAAAGTGATGTGGATATCATGCCCAATTCAATCAGGCGAATAAATAGCAGCACTCCTCCTGAAGCACTGTAGCACTGTTCTCCCATTGTTCATCGATTTGCTTGAGCGGGCACCAGTAATGTCTCCACTGTGAGATTTGTTGTTACTGTGTTTGGCATATCGAATATGTCACGGGGAGCTTGCCAGGCTTTGCCCTGCGGGCAAGATACTCTTGGTAGCTTGCTGGGCTCTCTGAGAGGGGTGGAGGAATCAAACCCGGGTTGGCCACGTGCAAGGCAAGCACCCTACCCTCTGTGCTATTGCGCCAGCCCCAGTACCCCTACATTAAAAAAAAAATTATTGGTGATGCTCTGGGAATTATTTGGTAATTGGAAACTGGAACTCCTGCATGCAAAAGGTGCACTGCAGTCTATTGAGCCCTCTCTCTCCCCAGGCCTTGATCATAAAATTTTGAAGCTGTCTTTACTCCATGAAGTTTAGGAGAATCCTGCCGTAATTACTTAATAATTAAAATTTGGCACAGATCTTAACAACATTTTTATTATTTTGATTTTTACAAATATGTCTGTAACTGTCAGACCATTTTATTTCACACTCCCATTCTCAATTCCTTTTCTGAAAATATTATACTAGTAAGGGGGAAAAAAATGAAAGAACTGAAATAGAATAGTTTTAGTGTGACCTGTATTCAACTCGAGGTATCCAGTGTCCTTGTCTTCCTAAATTTCAGTGTGGGGTTTCTTCTGGAAGTTTTGTGAAAGTGTTCTGATATCCCTTTGAATTTCTCTGGCTCACTAAGAAAGAAATGAGAATTACTCAGATCCTTCTCGTTTTCTGTTCATTATGCTGCATCAGTGCCAGGAGAATATCCTGAAGAGGGGGATACAAAGGGGTGTTGTACAGAACACATCGCTTTGCTCATTTTCTTCTTTTACTTTTTTCTTATTGTCTCTGTTTTTATTTCAAATTTTTAAATATAAAAATACAAAGAATAATATACCCATGTACCCACACTAAGGATTAATAGGTTTTTACCATTTTGTTATTTTGTAGCTCATTGATACATATTGTAGCATTTACTTACATATTTTTGCAAATGTCTCTGATATCCCTTTGAATAGTTAAGTATTTGAACAAAAGTTCTAATAAAATTTCACTCCTGGGGCTGGAGTAATAGCACAATGGGTAGGGCATTTGCCTTGCACGTGACTGACCAGGGTTCGATTCCCAGCACCCCATATGGTCCCCTGAGCACCGCCAGGGGTAATTCCTGAGTGCAGAGCCAGGAGTAACCCCTGTGCATCGCCAGGTGTGACCCAAAAAGCAAAAACAAAACAAAACAAAAATTTCACTCCTGTCTGTTTTCTTCCCTAGTCTTCATTTTTCTTCCTCTCAAAGAGAGAAGCAGACCTTAAAAATTTTGCCTGTCCCTTCTCAATTCACATTTAATTTTTGTAGCCAGATGCTTCACGTTTTATGTATCCTTTTGCTTAGAATGGTTGAACCTGTTATAAAAATAAAAATTTTTCTATACACATCTTTCTACAGAGTTTTCTCTTTTGCAACAAATGTTAGTTTTAAGGTCTGTGTGTGTACTTACATATAGGTGGATCTTGCTCACTTACTTAACTACAGTACCCTAACTACAGTACCCTAACAATATATTTATGCTTTTCTGTAGAGTTCTCTTTTCTGGGGCATGTCCACTATGCTTAGGAAATGAGGTGCTGGGGACCAAACCTCGACTCTTTACTATAAAACATGCACCTTCACCCTACAATCTAGCTTCCTGGTAACCTTACTTTCTTTCTTTTTTTTTTCCTTTTGTGTTATACCCAGCGATGCACAGGAATTACTCTGGCTTTGCACTCAAGAATTATTCCTGGCGGTGCTCAGGAGACGATACGGGGCACTGGGAATCGAACCCGGGTGGGCCATATGCAAGATAAACGTCCTACCCGCTTTACGGTCACTCCAGTCCCCCTCACTAGTTCTTTATATTGTTTTATATTTTTTTCTTTGTCACTAGCTGGCCAGCATTCGGTATACGTGGGGCTTATTCATGTCCTCCACCTTTCTCCAAAGAGCTTATAAATCGGGCAGGAGAAACACAGCTTCCAGCAGGGTCAAAACGAAACCCTGCCCAATCCTTATCAGATAACTTTTCCAGGTCAACTTGGAGGCCTTTTGGTTATAGTATAATTTTTCCCCATATAAATCTTTAATATCTTAAAAAAATTGCTTCTTTTTTAGGTACTTGTTTAAACTGCCAGGAAAATAGCAAAGGGGATCACTGTGAAGAATGCAAAGATGGATTTTACCAGAATCCCGGTGCCACTCAAGAATGTCTTCGCTGCCCTTGTTCAGCGGTGACGTCCACGGGCATTTGCGTCATCAGTAAGGCCTCTCTCTATACCTTCATCTTTCAGGGACCCCATTACTGACTGTGTGTCACTAGGTTTCACTTGTGTTGATAAGTCAAGTTCCATATGCTATAGATGAAGGGGGGCCATCAGACAGCAAAGGTTTTCTTTTCTAGGAATTTGCAGTCAAATGCAAACACACATGTGAGATGATACTTAAAATGTCTAAAGAAGCAGCAAATTGAGTAAATAAAGAACTTCAGGATTGAGGAAAATGGGAAACTTGCATCAGGTATAAATAGGCTCACATATTTTAAGGTAACCTTAGTTAATAGTCTTTTTTTCTATCTACTTACTAATATTGGCTGCTTATGTCTAAATAGCAGCATCGACATGTAGTTAACTCACATTTATTTTTGGTGTGTTAGTTGACTCCTACCACATAACCATTACCCTGAAATTCTGTGGCTTAACATAATAAGCATTTATTATCTCACATGATATCTGTTAGGACTTTGGGTGCACCCTAGCTGGGAATGTACAGTTAGTACGTTTTAGTATATCCACAATGTTGTGTGATCATCATTATAATCAATTTTAAAACATTCTTAGTACTTCTGCTACCCAAACAAACTTTGTTCCTGTTAGCAGACATTTCTTTTCCTGTCATCTTAGGCAACCATGAACTTACTTTTTTTCCTCTATGAATTTGCCTATTCTGAGTATTACATAAGTGGAATCATATAATATGTGATAGTTTGTTTCTGGACTATTTTATCTATCATAATATTTAAGATTCATCCATCTTGTAATATCTATCAATATATTATTCCTTTTTATTGCTAATCATCATGGATTTGCTACATAATATTTTTCCATTATTATGTTTATGGATAATTGGACTGTTTCTACTTATTGGCTACTATGAATAATGCTCTATGAACATTGTACTATGTTTTTGTGTATACATATATTTTTGTTTCTCTCATGTATTTATCTAGGAAAGTTTCTGGGCTGTATAGTAGCTCTTTGTTCAACCTTTGAGAAACTCATACTAATTTCCATAGTGACCATGCCATTTTATCTCCTCCCAACATTGTAAGAGGGCTCTATTTTTATGTGGGAGACCACATCCTTACCATTATTTGTTTAATACATGCCTTGTTATAGTGATCCTAACAGTTGTGAAGTGGTATTTTAGTATCCACTCGCAACTTCCTGGTGGATAATTATGAATTTATTTGCCATTTATGTATTTTCTTTAGGAGAGTCTTTTCAGATTCTTTCTTCATTTTTAAATTAGGTTTTTGTGTTTTTATCCCTGAGTTGAGAGAGTTCTTTTTAAGTGCCTTACCTGGCATCTGATCTCCTGGATTTTATCTCTTTTGTGGCTTGGCCTTCAACTTTCTTCTCTCCCTTTTCTTTTCTTGTTCATTATCGTGGTGAGCAGGGTTCCCTCACAGGCCTGGATGTGGCACTCACACATTTCAGTTGTGTCCACCGGGGTTGCACACTTGGCCTTCAGTGTTTGCCATCAGTCACACTTCTTTAGTTGCGGTTCTCACATACATTCTGGGTTAGTTTTTTCACCTCCTTGATGTGTTTTCAGCACACAAGTTTTTAATTTCAGCAAAGTCCAAGGTTGTTCCCCCCCCTTTCATAATCTTAGAAATTCTCATGAGGTTGCAATCAATTTGTAAGCCAAGGTTGCAGTCAGGCATGATGACTTAATTAGAACTAGTAAATTTCCTTCCAAGAAGGGCTTACTCAGACAGCTTTTTCTAAAGGTAGGAGGCCTTTTGTTCCTGCCCATATGGGCCTCTTCAGAGAGCGACCAGAGTTTCCTTCTAGCATGGAGGCTGGCTTCCCCAAGGAGCTTACAGGCTAAGAAACTAGATGAAACTAGACAGTGTGTTCTGTTGCGTGGTCTCTGAAACCTTGGCACAGCCTTTCTATGGCTTCTCCACTTCCACCCTCGAGTAGAAGAGCGGGTGAGGATGGCGTGAGTGCTAGGAGGCATGGCTCATTAACCCATCTTGAATGCCGGGCTACCACACCTGGAGATGGGAAATAATTCCTTCTCTTTTGGTAGAGTCTCTAATTTATTCTGTAAATAGTTAAAGAGCATCTAGTGCCTGTTGGTTCCTGTGTTTGTCAGGGGAGATATAGACATTTTAAAAATATCCCATATACTAAAGAAGCAACCCATAAATCATTAAAGATAGCAGTTATGTAGAGTGGATATGGTGGGACACTAAGTAAGGGTGTCCCATTCTACATGGGAACATTGAGAAATTTTTCATAAAGGAAATACCAGGATGGCAGAGAGATAATACAACGGTGAAGGCGTTTGCCTTGCATGCAGCTGACTCTGCTTCCATATGGCCCTGACACTACATAGGGTCCCTGAAAATAAAGCCAGGAGTCAGCCCTGGGCACAGCTGGGCGTGGCCTGAAAACAAAGCAAAACAAAACAAAAATAACATCAGGAGATAATTTGTTATTAATAATCACTATATATGTGGTACATATTTAGCAATTAGGAGAACTTGTAAGTGCTATATATGGAGTCAAGAAAATGAAAAAATGATGTATCAATGTCTGTTTTCATGATGTTAGAATTCCTTAGTGAATTTCTTTTATACGCCAATGTGTGCTGTTAGTATCAAAGAATTTAAAACTTGAAAACTTTTAAGAAAGTCCAATAAAAATTCATGTTAGTTCTTGGCATATCTAGAGCAATGTTCCTTTTGAACAAAGCACCTGGCCAAGCCAATAGGCTTCAGATATTTTGTTCTCTTATTTGACATTTGTTTTCCTGGGGATTATAAGCTCCATAAAAGCTTAGCAATGCATATATACTTTTATGTTGTTTTTGTTGGTTTGGGGGCCACATCTGACAGTGCTCAGAACTTCGTGGCTGAGCATCTAATTCGGGGATTTTGACATAGCATTCCTGAGTATCCTGCATGATTTCATCTTAGTTGGAGTGAGTGATGAGAATAGTAGAGATTTGGCCTGGAGGAGAGAGCGGTCAAACACATCTCTTATCGTGTAGTGCCCCAAGTTTGATCCCCAGCTCTGCTTGCTCTTCCGCCCAGCACTGCCCAGCATTCCTCAGTAGCCCGCGTACCAATGGTTATGGCTGTGGTGGCTTCTGCCACCTCTAGTCACGGCCCTGATGGCCCCCCCAGTGATCCTTGGTTCCCAGCACTTCTAGATGTGACCCCTTATAAAAAAAATACAAGAAACTTTCATATTTATTTCTCTCCCTTCAACGAGAACAGCATTTATAATTGTTTTGCATATTTGGGAGAGAACACAATTTTTGAAAACTGCTGAGTCCAACCTCTGTGATCATGGTCATATAGCTATTGAATAATATACCAGAATATATTTTATTCCTAGAACAATACATTATCAATTTAAAACATATGGAAGGCTATACTTACTAGGCCTTTTAGTCTGCTGGCGTCTGTTATTTTATTTATATCCAATTTATTATACATCAATTGATGGACTTTATAATATTTTATGGAATCTCTAATGATTATTAAAATTTCATAAAAAGAAAAGTTACAACTATTTAATTGCCATAATTAGCCTTATTTTGTCTTGTGTGTTGACAATAATGGAATTTTTCTGTTTCTAACTAGTAATTTCAACATTTGTAAGTGGGGCTGGAGCGATAGCACAGCGGGTAGGGCGATCGCCTTACAAGCGGCCAACATGGCCGACCCGAGTTCGATTCCTCCGCCCCTCTCAGAGAGCCTGGCAAGCTACCGAGAGTATTGGATATGCCAGACACAGTAACAACAAAGTCTCCAATGGAGACGTTACTGGGCCCGCTCGAGCAAATCGACGATCAACGGGAGGGCCTTTACCTTTACTTTTTGTAAGTGGTGTACAAGTCTAATTAGCATCCTCATTTAATAAAAATAATCCTCAAAGAAGTTCTTATTTCAGGGAAAGATGTGCCAAAATTTAAATAATGAACAATATGCAGTGTGATGTAATTTGTTTTAGTTATTTATTCTTGGGGTTTGGCCACATCCTACAGTGTTCAGGGCTTCCTCCTGGGTTTGTCCTTAGCTATCAATCCTGGAGGGCTCAGGGGATCATATATGGTTCCAGGGATCGAACCTGGGTTGGCTGCATACAATACAAATGCCCACCTGCTGTATTATCTCTCTGGCCCCTAATTGGCTTTAAATGTATTACACCTCCCCCCCACACACACCTATAAATTGGATTTATATTTAGTGCTTATATAGTTGGCTTTTAGTTTTTTGTTTTGTTTTGGTTTGGGTGATCCATATCCATCTGTGTTTAAGGGTTACTCCTAGTGGTGCTTGGGGGGCCATACTCAGTGCTAAAGAAAAACTTAGCAAGCTTGGCCTTGTGCAAGACAAGCACCTTACCCACTGTCCTATCTCTCTGGCCCTTGTGTTGGCTTTTTGGCACATCCTATTAGCATACTGACTACTTAGGAGATACAAAACTCTATTCTAGGGGAATAGAGAATGACAAGAGAAATAATGTTTTGGAGTTCATGTTGTAAAAAGTAATATAATCACAGCTCAGGGTAGAAAGTGATTAGATGTGGAGAACCTGAAAGCTTAGAGTTTGGAAGATCATTTCCTCCTGGGAGGTAGAGAAAAGTCTTCACAGATATGGAGGCACTTGAATAGGACCTTGAAGAGTGAAGTGTGTATGTCTTCAAGTGTATGCAAATAGAGGCAGATGGGAGACCGGAGCCAGTGACTGAGCCCGGGTCCCTTTGGTCCAAGCTGACAGATGTGCAGGTCCAGATCATGGAGTGAATTCAGACTGCAAACTCAGGACAGGCGGCACCCAGCACATATATCTGATGATTTCAGAACTCACAAGTTCTAAAGGAGAGACTAATACACAAATATATGTAATGTGACATCACAGATCTGTGCACAAAGAATAAATAGACTACCTGGAATGGGGTATACGAGAAAGGTTACAGAGCAGAAGGACATCAAATTGAAGTCTTGTGAAGAAATGATCACTTAATAAGTGAACAGAAGGAGGGGCATTTGAGATAAAGAGAGCAAGATGAACAAATGTACAGAAATACATTGTCAGTGTTTAGTAACTTACTTGAGAGCATGCTATCAAGTTGGATTGCAAATGGTAAGTTAAAAACTATTAAGTGGGAAGGCTGGAGCAATAGTGCAGTGGGTAGGGTGCTTGCCTTAGATGTAGCCAAACCAGGTTCGGTCTCAGGCATTCCATATGCCTCCCCAAGCGCAGCATAAGTGATCCCTGAGTGTAGAGCTGGGGTAATTCCTGAGTACCATCAGATACATCCCAAAAGCTCCCACCAAAAAAAAAATTAGGTGGGAGAGTTATTAAAATCCTGTTTGTTCTATCTCTCATGACTAAAGTGGAAGGAATAAAAAGAATTTGAGCCTCTTTTTCACAATCACTTGTATTCTTCTGTAAACATGTTTCTTTCATTCTCTACCTAAATGGATTCTCCAGATGGCCTCAACTTTATCACAAGAATCTGAAAAGTTAGAAGTATAATTTACTAGTTTAATTCCATGTCTCTTAGGTTGGAGAGGAGATAGAGGGAGGGTTTGTACCCTTTTGAGAGATAGTTTTACATTCCCAGTGGTATTTTGATATTGTACTGATATTTTGCTGTTTTCTCTATTTTAGAATCGGGTGAATTGGAACCTACATGTGTCCAGTGTAACGAAGGTTACACAGGCCAGAACTGCAATAAATGTGAAAATGGCTTTTACAATTCTGACAGCATCTGCACACGGTGCCAGTGTCATGGCCATGTGGACCCAGTGAAAACTCCTAAGATTTGCAAGCCTGAGAGTGGTGAATGCATCAACTGTCTCCATAACACCACTGGGTTTTGGTGTGAGAACTGCCTAGAAGGTTACGTTCGAGACCTCGAGGGAAATTGCACCAAGAAAGGTAAAACTTCGCCCAAAGTTGTAAAAGTAATAATCTGAACCTAGCAGTGCAAATTTCAGGACAGCTACCATAGCTTTGTAAAGCTCTCCAGTCCCACCAAGGAATTCCAATCTGGAAATAAATTTTGATAGATATTTGCCCAAAGAGGGTTCCTTCCATTCCTGCTGCTCTCCTGTACTCCAAGTCAACTCCAGAAATTTGAGGATCAAGACAGTGTCGTTGCTGCATCCCCACATTTTCTCTTCATCTATTTTTATTTTTTGTTAATAATTTAAAAGTCCCATCATTTCTTTTTATCCTTTGCTTCCTGTATTTTCTCATCACTTCCTGTGATCATGAAAGATCTTTTCAGTAGGGATTTATAATCTGATTAGAGAGTCCAGCTGAGAAACAAGAGATCATTCTAGTGTCTGTCCTAACTTTGAGCATAAATATTCTTGTGTGATGTAGGAAGTGGTAATAATATTCATTTTGTTGTTGTTGTTGTTTTTGGTTCACACCCAGCTGTTCAGGGTTTACTCCTGGCTCTGCATGTAGGGATTACTCCCGGTGGGCTCTGGAGACCATATGGGGTGTCCAGGATTGAACCCAGGGGGTTGACCACATGCAAGGCAAGCACCCTATGCGTTGTGCTATTGCTCCGGCCCTTTAAATTTCGTAAAGAAAAAGTTATTCACACAGGAAAATGCTTCTTACAGATAAGTTCAGTAAGAGTTTAGGTAAAAAATTAGTGGTTATAAATTCAGGATGAATTAGGGATTCAGGTTTTATTAGATCATAGAAAGATTAGTCCATGATCTACAAATCACTGATGCTTTGAAAGCTGCAGAGTACCAGGCTGGTGGGCACTTATACTGTGGCAGGTGTGACCCTCCTGTCCCTTGCTCTCTCCCTCCTTCCCTCCCTCTGTTCTTTCTTCCCTCCCTCCCTTCCTGTCCTCCTTCCTTTCTCACACCCAGCGTCACTCATGGCTTACTCCTGGCCCAGCACTTAGGGATCAAAGTTGGAACAACCACATGGAAGGCAAAAGTCCGACCATCTGTACTCTGGCTCCAGCCCTATTCTCTTGATATCTTAATTCGGTTGTGATCAGTTGAAAGACTCAGATTAAATCAATCACTAGCCCAGATATCCAGTCACTTGTTGTTTCTCTTTCCCTTTGGAGGATCAGCTTGGCAACATTTAACTGACAGTCCTGGGAATACTTTTCTAGTTATTAGATAATACTAAAAAGGTCTCTTTTTACCATAATTTATGTAGCTAACTCTGGTGATAAATTATGTTAATATCAATCATTTTAATTGAGTAACTATAATGTGCTAAGCACTGTAAAATATAAAATGGGTCAGTACTTAGTCCCCAGACTGGTGATTTGAAAACACTCTCTTATTTAATGTTTCCCAAGAACAGGGCCAGATGTTATTATTATTCCCATTTTCAAGAAGAACATCAATTTCTAAAAGGATTGGCTCAGTTATCTCTAGCTACAACATTTATACTTTAATTCTAAAATCTTTTCTATTTCCACGGAGTTATACTGCAGTAGGAATACAAAATATGATACCTCAGTTATGAAATTGGTATACATAGAAGAAGCAGTACCACACACACACAGCTAGAGAAAGGATGTTTTTTCTTTAAATTACATCAAATTTAAACATTTGAATTGTGTTTTCCAAAGTAACTAGAAATAGTCTTTCTGTTTTATTTTTGTGTCCTTGGAAGAGAATTTACCCATATGAAATGCCAGCAAATATACTGAACTTAGTTTACACGATTGCCCTTTATCCCTATAACTTTCAACCAAGGATTTTATCCAGTTGTGACGTTGTTACTACCTTTGCAAGAATTTGTATGAAATCTCTTCAAGACTGAATAGTGGAAAATTCCAATATTAGAAATTTCCCAAAGATATATATGTATGAATATTATACATTTTGGAGAATAGCCATGGATGGAATAATCTAGCTTTTTAGACTTGATTCTTTTCACTCTTGTTCTTTTAAAATTATTTTTAACTTCCCTTACCTTAAAGCAGAATACCATGTCAACATCCCATATCAACTTCCACTCCCATGTGTATTTCTTTTATTGTTTCTCAAAATTAGATGATTTTGTCTTCTACATTTCATTCTCTGTTTTTATTTTCAGAAGTTATTGTTCCAACACCTGAAGGTTCTACCATTTTGGTTTCCAATGCTTCTTTGACCACATCCGTGCCCACCCCTGTTATAAATAGTACATTTACCCTCACCACCCTGCAGACTATCTATTCAGTAAGCTCTTCTGAGAACAGCACATCAGCTTTGGCTGATGTATCATGGACCCAGTTTAACATCATCATTCTGACAGTCATCATCATTGTGGTGGTGCTGCTGATGGGATTTGTGGGGGCCGTGTATATGTACCGGGAATACCAAAACCGGAAACTGAATGCCCCCTTTTGGACCATCGAGCTAAAAGAAGACAATATCAGTTTCAGCAGCTACCATGATAGCATTCCCAATGCAGATGTGTCGGGATTGTTGGAAGATGATGGCAATGAAGTGGCTCCCAATGGGCAACTAACCCTGACGACACCCATACATAACTACAAAGCCTAAAGGGCTAGAACTTTTCTCCTGGATTGTTAGATCTGAGTCTCACTAAGACAGCGTTGGCACTTGGGTCGAGTTTGCTGAGTGAGCAAAGGCATGTATAGTGCATCTGCAACTTTCGGGTACAAATTTGTAATGCACTTAGCCTTATTACTCTAGTTGTCCCCTGAAGACTCGGAGCATTCACTGTCAACAAGGACTTAAACTAAAGTATATTTTTGTATCAAACCACATGGGATGTGCTAGAAAGGCTGAATCCCCCAGTGCAGTCCAAACCCACTTTGACCTCCAGATAGATTCCCGGGGAAGTGTTCCTCAAACCAGCGATTAACAGGATCATGGATGTGGATGGGAAAAAAGACTTCCAGAAGACATCATCTCCATTCCTGAAACTATTTCTAAAAGGAGATTCAGGAATGATACTCATTCATTGTACGAAAGAAATATCACGAAGGAAAAGATGTCTGGTCTGTATGACAATAAACAATCCTTATTTATCCCAAGACAGGGACAGAAAGTTCCACGATTTTCAGAAGGGCTTGATTTCTCCTTCCAGAATTTCTGCTCAATTATAGGATTAAAACACAGGATAAGCATCTAATAGTCGAGAAAGGAAAGCAACATCGGGAACAGGAAGCTGATGGACCTCCCTAAGTCTCTGTGTAAATGATAAATTGTCAACAGTGGGGACCATTATTCCTGCCTCGAGATAAACAAGGTGTATATAATTAATGTAGCATATCTGGTCAATATTGTATTTGTATCTATTTGTAAAAAAAATCATGTCATATTTTATCATCTAGAATGTATTTGTACAGCAGTTAATAGCGTTGTAAAAAATATACAGGAGTTGGTTTTAAAATACTGTAAAATAGATGGCAATATTGCTAGAGCTGGGACTCTGGTAAGCAATGGTCATTTTTAGTCCCTGTCTGGACATAGTTGAAATTTATAAGAGGTTGAATGTTTCTAATTGTTCTTTCCCTTTCTCAACAGTAAAGTTATATGTTCTTTGACTTCCTATAGATTCAAGCAATAGATTTTTATGTCAGTCACTATTCAGGTGGGACCCAGGCTGCACTCTCCAAACTACTCATCTAATTAGACATTAGCCCCTCTGTGTATTTTACATAGTTTAATGTAGAACGTATCTTCATTAAAATTTTTTTAATGTAAAATATAGTCTTCCAAAGGAATGACAGATGTTTTCATTTCAGAAGCAAAGCTATGATATCACGTGGGATCTCGTCTTTTCATGTCAGTGAAGTATTTCTATTCCTCCCCTTCCCACTGGTACACCTCCTTCATTTGGACATAGTCTGTCATCCGTTTCCAGATGTGAGCCGCCTCTGCACACTGCCGTACTTCTCTATGTTTCTGTCCTCTTAGAGGGTCGCTCTGTAGTTGGGTGGGTCTAGTTAGTCCTTAATTCTAGATGCAGGTTTTTCTAGGTGTCCCCTACTGTGGCTCTCATCTATTATAATATTGACAGATTATAAATTAAGAATGTCAGCAAATACAGAAATCAGGAGGAACAGAAAACTGTCAAGTGGTTAGGGAAAAAAAATCAAAGACTTAACTAGATTAGGCATAGGAAATCTAAGTTGACAACTCTGCCCTAACTTCCCTAGAGGAATAAAAAATCCCTTCCGGTTATCACTTTGTAGGAGACCCTTAAGTTCTTTTCAGGGTGTGGAGGTATCCTATGCTCTGAAGACTGTGCAGACAGGTAATGTCCTGCTGGTGACATTGGGGGTGCATGAGAAGAGAGATGACATCACATTAAGCAATATTAAAATCAGTTAGTATGACTACAGCCCTTCACGGTTTCAGTGCACCATTCCAGATTCTTATCTTTCAACAATGAAAATAAATTTCAAACAACATTCATGTCTCTCAACAATGTTACCCTCAAAATATAGTCTAGATATAATTTAGAGCTGATGGTAAGTGCCTTGTTCAAGGCCAGACAACTTAGTGTTATTAGACTTGGAATTGGGACTCCTAACTCTGAAATTCTGTCTTTTCCATTCCTTATGTGTCCGCACAATTCCTTATGTGCTGCTAATGCAGACCTTGCCTAGCCAGGGGTACCAGAAGGCTAAGAAGAAGAATCCCAGCTGGAATATTTCTGATTTTCTTAAGTCCCAGGTGCGATGGGGGGGGGGGGGGCGGGGAGCGTGTCATACAGCCATGAAGGACTTTGTGGAAAGAGTCCAGGAGGATTGCTATCTGAAGCCAATGTTGGCGCTAAGAAAACAACGACTAGCCTGAGCTTCATTAAAGTAAACTAATCCTTCCAGGCTAGGGCAGGAGAGAGGGACGACCCTGCTTTCCCCACCAGCTGTTACACCAGCATCAGCATGCAGAGGCAGTGCACAGCACAGTGCTTGGGAGCTGTGCAATGTGTCATTCCTGCCTCTCTCCCAGTTTACCAACCCCTCAGAGTCAGAGATGGAGGTCAGTGAGAAGTAAATATTTGCTCAATAGAAATGAACCCAACAGAGAAAGGAGTTTTTGTTGTGGGGGCGCGGAGGGAGGTCTGAGACATATAGTCTAAATTCTGGTCATGCCAAGCAGCGCCCTTTTGCCTTTCGCCCTCACAGACTGCGCCCATCCTGCTCACTGGTCCATGGGAGGTGGCTGAGCAGAGGTTTGCAACCTTTCTGCATCTGCGCACTGGTACCAGTCTGTGGATAGGTGGTCAAAGACCACCGATGTCGGACTTACTTGAAGCAGACTTTAAAAGGCACTGCAACAATTGATAATTTTTTGTTTTGTTTTGTTTTGTTTTGCTTTTTTAGTCACACCTGGCAATGCACAGTTACTCCTGGCTCTGCACTCAGGAATTACTCCTGGTGGTGCTCAGGGGACCATATGGGATGCTGGGGATCGAACCTGGGTTGGCCACGTGCAAGGCAAATGCTCTACCCACTGTGCCATTGCTCCATCCCCACTGCAACAATTGAACCACATAGAACCTTTACCTTTGAATCCTTATGAAATGTTCCTAGGTCACGTTTTCAGTTTTTCCCAGTGGAAAAAAAAATCAAGTTAAAAAATAGTAAAATAATGAATTTGAAAGAATGTTCTATTGTGTCTTCTGCTTTTTGCTAGTGGAAGTAATTCTGTTCTCATTCAGGAAGTGGCTTACTGGCCAAAATCAGACTGGGAAACAAGTCCAGGATGAGTTCCATGATATTCATTCCGATAAAGACCTGGATCCCCAGGATTCCAGCGGTTTATCTACAGGCATCATACTGAAAGAAGTTTTGTTTAAGGATTAGAAATGTGTCAATTTTCAAATGAGATAAGACCAGTGTGAATATTACTGACAGATGACAGCTACTGCTGTTGTGGTACTTTTATTCTCATTAACTCGTTATAGTAAGCCCTCATGCATTCCTGACAGGGATCCTAGGTAATTGTTAATGATGTCTCTGTTCCCTTATTTCCCCCACTACCCTCCAGCTTCCAAAGGTTACTTGCTAGTGGAATTTCTCCAGCTGTAGAGAAGAAGAATAATATAAAACTAAACCTCACTTATACTAAGGTCCTATGGACTTAATGTGTTAATCTTAGGGATAATTGAAATTTAGGAGAATATGCAGATGATGACATTGTTAAATGAAAAAGAGAACAGTGCAGACATGGGATGAGAATATATATATATATATATATATATATATATATATATATATATATGAAATCTCATGGCTACTGTTTACAGTTCTTATTTCCCTGCCCCTGAAGAGCCTCCAATATAGCAGCGTTGGGAAAGACCAGTAAGGAGAGGCTTCTAAAATCTCAGGGCAGGGACGTTACTGGTGCCTGCTCGAGTAAATCGATGAACTATGGGATGGCAGTGATATTGTCTAGCCCCAATCCTCCCAAGAACATCGGTCATTAATTTGATCGATGGACCACTAGTTCACAGTGGTCCACTGAGTGCTTTGAGGACACTTGGCCCAGGCTACACTGTCTTGGAGGCAAAGAGCTAACACAGCAGGACTTCTCTTACAGCTTTGGTTGAAACTGGGTTATGTGATCGTTCGCTGTGTTCTGATATTTCTCATAGACACAAGGTGAACATAACACGAGACACAACCATTCCCTGCTTGTGTTTTGCGTATGTAGGTAAGAATTGAATTTATACAACTTCCTGACCCCAAAAAATAAAAGTTTGGGGGGCCAGAATGATTGCCTTGCATATGGCAGACTATCAGATTTGATCTCGGCACCCCATATGGTTCCGCAAGCCCCTCCAGAAGTGATCCCTGAGCACAGAGCTAGACGTCAGGCCTGAGCATTGCCAGGTGTGGTCCCCAAACATCTAAACAGACAAATCTTGAGGAAGTAAACAGCAACTCAGTGTGCCTATTAGGGCAAGGAAAGAAGTTTGGCCTCACCCACCAAAAACCTTCAGTCTACTGAGATGTTCTTGATAGAAAGGAGTTTGGGAGCTAAAATGAGTTCGGTGTGTGCAGGGAAATAGTGGGAGATTAAAGCAAGTTTCTTTCATGAACCCCTCAGCTATGGGGGCAAAAAGGAGGAACACACTGATTCATTCAGAGAAGCTAAGTAATATTAAAAGGAATAAAGGCTGCGGAACATTCAAACGTCAGTGATTGAATGATGCCTTTTCAAAGGCAGTTGGGAATCTTTCTTAATTTTTTACTTATGCAGTTGTAATAGCTGAAACAGAAACCAGAGAGTGAGTGAGCGAGTGAGTGAGGGAGAGAGAGAGAGAGAGAGAGAGAGAGAGAGAGAGAGAGAGAGAGAGAGAGAGAGAGACAGATCCTAGGGCTTCCAATCTCATCTGAAAGTGGAATGATTTAAAGTTTTCATGCTGCACAAAAGCACTCTGTAACACATTAAATGTCAGCCCAAGCAATTAGGGAAATGTTTCTGAAACATTAAACTTGCATTTATGTCACTAAAATTCTAACATAAATTTTAAAAGCATATCTCAGATGTACGCTGTACTAGGCTTCATGATGCATTTCTAATTTGTGTATGATTTGAATATATGAAAGAATTTATACAAGAGTGTTATTTAAAATTATTAAAAATAAATGTATATAATTTGTACCTATTGTAGATTTATTGTTTTACTTTTTAGTGTGCTTTGAGTTTCTGGAAATATTTTGATACACATCATGGATCATTTATTTTGAAATCACTTCATGAAGACCTTTGAAACCTTCATTTATTGGCCAGGCTTTCCTTTTTAAGGAATTCCTTTAAAGTGTGTTTTCCACATAGGCGGAAAAAAAAAAAGCCACGTAAAGAAGATCCCCTTTCTTTGAACAAAACAAAACCAAAACACCCCCACCAAGTAAAAAGCATATATAAACATATTTTCTTATTTGTGCTTTTGGCTATTTGCTTATAAAATCCACTGGAACCGCCATGAAAATTTCTCAGAAAAACTTTGCTCCTTTCTCATTCGTGTAAAAAAATCATTCTTTAGTGTAATGGCAATAAAATCATATTGTGTTTATTAGATAAATTGTAAAGGTACATCTAAATTATTTTGAAGTAGCCTTAAAGATTCCCTATTTTGATAAAGCTAAATGGGGTTACTTTGAAAAAGAAGAAAAGTAATTCTGCCTTTTCTTTGTGAAGAGAGTGTCATAAACTATTTGATTTCTTTACTTGACTTCAGTTGGTTGGTAATTAAACATTGGGATTTCATTTTTTCCTTTTTAAAAACAAGGAAAGCTTTGTTACTTTATAATCACTCCATATATACATGGAGTTCTGTGATGCGTATGAACTGGCAATTATTTTAAGGACACAAAATGAACATGTCCAGTCAAATAAAAAATTCAAAATAAATGTATATATTTATTTATACAAACAGAACACCAGAAGGAAATAATGTCAGAAACACTACTTTTATAGTTTTATATTCAAGCATCTAAAGAAAGTTTATTGTTAAAGACATTGACTAGGTCCATTATCAAAATTGGTTTTATTTAATTTTAGTAAGAGCATATGATGCAATTTTAAAATTAT